TGTACTTTTTACGGTTAACATTTATTGGGGGGGGGGATACAACTTTTTTCAGAATTATGGAGTTTTCATGAAGTTCGACGGAGAGGGGGGGGACGACTGCTGCGTCATTTTAGAAAGCTTTTGTATTTTCGTGACGACGTGTGACTTTAGGGGGTGGGGGTAAAAATCAGCTGCAGTAGAGCGATGATATTTATAGGTGACTCGAAAAACAGCTGAATATATCCGAACAGATGCCTGGAAGAAACTGCTGTCGAAATTTTAAGTTGGCGCAACGTCGACATATAATCTTACCATTCAAGTCCAGAAGCTAAGTCTACCGTCCACCGGTTTTTAACGTTTTAGGAGGTACCGATTCCCACCAATTTCATATGTGCATTCTCCGAACCCTCCTTAAGAGTTCTATCATCCCCACTGACAAAAGCTGATAGTGAATCATATGAGTCGGGTTCGTGTCTTGACCTAAACCGAACACCTGGGGTTCCATCGAACCCAGGTTAAGAACCGCTGGTTTAGTCGTTCTCCGATGCACCATTTTATCAAACTGGCGCTAGAGATAATCCAACTCTAAGCCTCTAACTAACATATATAATCTTCCACAGGCTGGGGGTACAAAAGGCAAACGAAGTAGAGTTCCCCTGTGATGTGAGATGGACCTATGAAAGAAGTTCCTGATCATTATGCCCAGCTGGCTTTACTTTCCTCGAACACAGAGTTTCTTCCTGGCATCTACCGCTTACCACCACCCCCCTCCTCACCCCGAACGAAGTGGAATTTATATACAAAATATGTACTTTTAACAGTGTCCGCCCCCCACCCCCTGTAGAAAAAAAGCCCGCCGGTCCACCGGGAAAAATCCAGATAGGCTTCCAGAAACTATGCTGTAAACGGCCTATTGAAGTTATAATTGTTTTGATTATTTTTTTTTAATTATTGGTATTTTACCATTCCTCCATACCAAGGAGTAGAATTTAGCCTTAGGTGGAGAAAAAATGCACAATAAAAAATTATATCTGATTTGGGTGCCCTTTTTAAAATTTTCCGGGCCTTTTGGACACAGCCAATCCACCCCTGGAGTCGGACATCCGTCCCAGATGGGTTGGCTGGATACTAACTCAACCACGCAGTCCCATAACCCAGCTTGAGTTTAAACTGTAATGAAGCAGAGGCGTAGCGATCCTTCCCGGCGCCCGGGGACAAACTTTCAATATGGCGCCCCCCTCGGGATCAACCTTTCAATTTTCAACTTGCACCCCCACTCGAACTTACGATTTGCACCCCCTCCCCTCAAACATTCGATTTGCATCCCCCCCCCCCCCCCTCCAACTTTTAATTTACACCCCACCCATATATTTTTTTTATATTTATAATGCAAAACTGCAGCTAAAATAAGATTTTAATTTGTTTTTCCAACCCATTGGGGGGGGGGGGGGGTCGGTATACCTTCTTCGGGGGGGGGGTGGCGGACACTGTTAAAAGTATATATTTTCTATATAAATTATATAAATTTCATTTCGTTCGGGGGGGCGGTAAAAAATGTTCGGGGGGGCTTCGCCCCTCCGAAGAGATGCATGGAAGAAACTCTGGTGTTGATCAGAGTTTCTTACAGGCATCTCTTCGGGGGGGCTAAGCCCCCCCCCCCCCCCCCCCCGGAAAAAATTTTACCGCCCCCCCCCCCCGAACGAATTGAAATTTATATAATTTATATAGAAAATATATACTTTTAACAGTGTCCGCCCCCCCTAAGAAAGTCTACCGCCCCCCCCCCCCCGAAAATTTCAAGTGCCCCCCCCCCCCCCCGGAGAAAAAAGTCTGGAAGAAACACTGGTGTTGATTACCTACCATAAATAATCATAATTAATCTTTGCAATAACAAATTTACCCACTGAACCACATGTTTAACTTAATCCAGAAACTGAATACACAACTCAAAACTTACAGCACCTTATTTTTAAATCCGTAAGAGTTAAATTCTCTTGAAATGTCATTTAAATTCAAACCGTCGCAAACACATACGGCGATAACATTTTCAAATTTTGGGTCATTAATGATAAGAGTTTTCTTTCTTTCGGTTATTATCTCCCCTGATTTGATATTTGACCTTTGACAAATGAGTCCTCTTCAACAATGCCTGCACAGAGGCGTAACTGAGATATAAGGGGGGGGGGGGGTTGGACTTGAGTGAGAAAGTGATATCGTCAGAAGCCGTGGCGTAGCTAGGGGAGGGTGGGTGGGTGGCCAACCATTAGGGGGCTCCAAAAGGGATAGAAAAACAATTAAGCTCACTTTAAGCTGAAATATTGAATTATATACAGTAAAAGTTAAGAAAATAGACGGCTACAAGGCTTTTACTTTACACACTGATTAATTTTTTTTGCTACGTCATTTCTGTGACACCAGCAAAAAAACTGTAACTGGATAGCGATTGTTAAAAAAAATCTCCGCCAACTTTTCCACAAAGGGGGGGGGGGGCGCTTTTTCACAAACATGATTAACTATATAGTCTTTATGAAAGGGAGGTGGGCGCAAAATTGATATCCCACCCCGGAATGGGACGCTACGTCTATGGTCAAAAGATCGTTTTGTATTGCTATTTAATGTAGATCTTTTTTTTTTATCTCTACTAATCAGCAGCATTAATATATATGATAAATCTGTGGTTGCCCAGTTGTAATTTAGTGGAGGGGGAGAGGCTGGAAGTTGCTGGAAATGCTTCTTTCGGTTTAGACATTTGAACTCAGATTACCTCTTTACAAAGTTTTGACCGGCGACCCCTTTAAGAAAACTTGACCTCATACGACCCAGTTACAAACATGTGACCCACTACGACCCCCTTTAAAACATTTGAACTCATACAAACATTTGACCTACGACATCATACGATTTATTTACAAACATGTACTCTTAAAGATTGACACACACAAATTAATTGATCTAAACAAACACTCGGACATTGACAGACTCCACTGGTTCCCATCATAAAATAACATACTTCCAAATGTCTTGTTCATTTTCATAGCCCCACGATGCAACAGCAGTATAAGAACTTCTTATCTATACTAGCAGCAATTAATTTAAATTTGTGTTCAGCACCCGCCCAATTTTTAAAAAAAAACACCGCCTTTGTATTCGCACTTGAGATGCTGACTGTCAAATAGGTAGAGGTGATAGAAATAGTTCCTCGGTCCTCTTGGAGTTAAATTGATTATATAAGATGCACTATATTGGCTGTATAAAGCTAGGCGATGCTGAAACAATTTGAAGTATTACGATTTTGACAAACATATTTTTAAAATCTGTATCATAAAGAAGAAAGTCTTGAGTACAATTAATTAGATTTTGTGACAAAGCCATTCATCTTTTTCCACAGAAGAACGGCCATGTGAGTTTAATAGTAGTGATAATGTGAATTTTGATGAAATGTCTTTATTTATAGCCTTTACTGTCCTATGCAGCCGAAATGTGTATGTGGTATGTCCTGTGCGGCAAAAGAAGACCCACCTTCTGCGTACGCCATTTTTTGTTAACCATCAGGTTTGATGTTGCTTCTTTAAATAAAATGTTAACTGAACTGTAATTAAAACCAATTCACAATAAACTGCATACATTCTCTCCTCTATAAATTACTTGTTTTCGTTCTTAATGTGTTTTTTTATTAATTAGTTTAAGCTCCAATGCAACAAATTAGTTTGCTTAGAGCAAAGAAAAAAATAAGAGACCTATTGAGTTTAGTAAAGTAACTATTGTAAATACTCATGATAAGGAAATACATTTTTACTACCATCCCACCCCCAGCTTTGTATTTAAAAGCAATTATATTTAATGTGTGCTTTTTAATTAATTATTTTGATCTTAAGTAAACTAGTGATATTAATATAATTTTAAAAACTCTTACAAGAACAAATGACTCAGGTTATGGGTTAAATACAGGACTTGAACATAACAAACAGAGTTTAAAAAATAAAACCCATCCATGTGACATAACTGTTTTGCTTTATTCACAAAAAAAAAATAATTGACGACCAATAATATAAACAAGTTACATTGATGAAACCCATCAACATAGTGGGGGAAAAACTTTTTAGAACTATAGAAAAACAACTGGAAATACAATGTACATGTGATAGTTATATACAAAAACAATGGGGGAAACATGAATTCTAAGCTATGACGGCTTCAGAATTATTTTTTAACCTCGATTTTTAAAAATCCACTTTGCAAGACAAAAATAAAATAATTTTTTTAAAGTACACATGAAAAAAAGCAATCTTTTTTTTATTTTATAAAGTTATTTAAAAGTATCATTTAAAGTCCATGTCGAGATAGCCCTATATTAGTGAAATGGAGGTATACACAAAAGTAGAACAGGCATTAACAACTAGATAAGAAAGAAAAAACTATTTCTCCACAATGACACTGAAACAGTTGTATGTTATCTTTAGATATGTACAGTTAAAATAGAACACACACAACACTTTTCTACACACAGCTCTTACTTTATGATGCAAAAAAATTAAACTTTTATGCCTATTCCAAAATTTTATATTTTGTTAGTTGTAGCTTATGATTAAACATTATTTTTAAAACGTTTTTTTCCGTACCATTTGACTTATGATTGAGCTATTTATTTATTGAATTAAAAGGTTAAAATATTTCATTTTAAAGAAAATTTACAAAATAGTTGGTCAACTATTAAAAATATGAAACAACAGTAACAAAAAACTTTAAGCACATAATTTAGTGAGATGTTCTCCATTTTCTGGTCAAATGACCAGCTGATAAATGTACTGGTGTTATATAATCCACCATAAAACAATGTTTTAACTAAAGTTCATGCAAAAAAAATATAATAATATTAATAATAGTACCAAACTCATCACCAAGAATAAAGAAATGAATTAAAATAGGTGCAATCACACTGAGATGAACATTTTAAAAAAAGATGATTGCTTATGGTTATTTTAATTAATGTACACATAAGGAAACACCATTATTTTGTTTCTAATATATCAAGGAAGAGATGTCTGGAGACGACACCTCAACTAACATGTTGCTCTGCAAAAAATCCAAACTATTGGTTATATTGAAACAAATCCAACAAAATATTGTGTCCTAATATTAACTGTAATGATCAAAGTTAGATTGCAATTGAATTGATCAAATGAGTGTCAAAATATGATGGGAAAACTTAGGTATGAAATTATTAACAAACTGATAAGTAAATATGATGAATTCAGAAAATATATTTAATAGAAAACATAGCATTTGACAATTTAAATGACACATTTACAGATGATTGAAAAAATACTTCTTAGTGAAACAAACTCTTTTGAAATTACAAAATGAACTGTGCTACTATAATTTAAATGCATATTTAAAAAAAATAACCTGTCATGAATCAAGTTAATACTAAATGGTTCTAAATGAACTATGTGAGATTACCAAGTGTTAGGCTGTTAGTAGACATACTATTCAATATATAAATAAACTTATATACACATGGATGTGTAAAATTGAATGCATAATTACAATGTTAAAAAAATGAGTGGCTGCTGATTTTTTGGGCTTCATATTAATCAAGTGCAGTGCTAAAACTGCAGTTATTCCTGAACTATCTAAATTAAGAGCAACTAAATTTTAATGCCCCCAGTGATGGTGTGCTGTGTTTCGCTACATAGGTAGGATTAACAATAGTTTAAAATAAAATTTTGTAGAAAAAACAACTTACAAAACTTAGAATTAGGGGAAAGAAATAGTACAAAACAGGAAACAAATGTATAAAGCATAGGAGTTTCTCTTTACAAACTATCGACATTTTAACACTGAACATAATAGCATAGTGCTATGAGGGTAAAGTTGTCTGTTTTTTAATTTTCTTGACCATTATCTCACCATTACTTGATCCAGAATGCTCCTCATCAGAACTCACAATTGATGTCCGCCTAGCTTTAAGCACAGTCCTAAGAGAGCTCTCTTCCCAAGAATCAAGCACACGTTTTGATGGAACGGGAGTGCGGCTTGACCGTCTGGATGGAGATGGGAAAGAGGGTGCTGCCGTTGAATCTTTTGTTAGAGAAGTTGGCTCAGATTTCAAGCCTACTTGAGGAGATGATGTTTTGTCAGTGCCATTAATGCGGGATGACTGTGTGTTTGGATCAGATGCCACATCCTGAATGTGACTAACACCAGCTAGAGGATCTTCTTCAAGTAATGGTTTAATAGCATGTTTTTTACTAGGTCTCCCTCTTCGCTTCTTAACAATGGGTGTCTGGGGTGTAGTTTCTCCAGTGGTGGTAATGCTCTGTATTACTTTTGTTTCTTTAACAGAGTCCTGGAGGTTCTCCACCAGTTTATAAGTTTGATCTATTTCTTCAGAAACTATTTCATGTCCACTCTCTTCCACATTTGTTGGAACACCAGTGTCAATGTCTGGAACTTCAGTTTGTTTGACGCTTTCACAGCTGTCAAGAATTTCTTCTGCTTTAGGTAACTCATCTGTTTTTGGTAAATCTACTGTTTTTGGTAACTCATCCCCCTGCTCATCTTGAAACAGATCAGCTGATAAATTAGGTTCAAAAGGAAGTGTGCCTCCATCTGGGACATCTACTTGTTTAGTATCCTCAGTGTCAGGAGCAGCAATGTCTTGCTCAGACTCATCTGCTGTGATGTTACTCTCTTCTTCCTTCACCAGAGAATCACAAAGCAGATCAGTGTCCTGATCATCATCTACAGAACTCCAAGACAGAGAGGAAGTGAAGTCCCCTGCCTCCATATACAACACAGTCAACAACTGTTTGCAGTACTCCCTCTGAGCATATTTATGCTCCACCTCAGAGTTTTCACCATCTTCATCTTCCCCCTCTTCTACAGAGCTGCTCCAGTCAGCTGTTTCCTGTTTCTTTTTGACAATGACCCCACTAAACATTTCCCCATCATTTGGGCTGGTCACAACTGATCCACCGGTACAAGCTGGGTCTCCTTCATCCTCAGCAACTAATGGTATCACTGTTGGTTCTTTAGAAGGATCTACTACTGGTTTCTGAAGAGGTTTTGGATTTCGTCGTAGAACTACGGCAGGCAGAAGTTCATTATCAATAACTTTATTAGGTCGATGAAGAGCTAAAGGGGAAGGTGGCGTTATAAAAAACTCTTGTACAGGCCCTAGAGAAGGATGTCTGAGGCTAGGTGCTCTTGATTTGTTTGAAAGGACACAGTAGTTGAAACATTGTTCTTGAAGTTCATGATCAGTGTATTCTGTTTCATCCTCTACTTTCCAGTCAACTCTTTGTTTCTTATGGGGTACAAATGCTGGGTAGTAAATGCGTCTTCTACGGACCCTGACGGTTTCAGGCTGTACATTTTCAACTTTCTCTTTTAAAACTTTTTCAGTGTCAATCTCACCAACATCAGTAGTTTGTACATCATCTTTAAGCAATACTTGTTCTGTGATCTCATCCTTATTTGTTTCAACATTATCAACAAGTTTGTTATCAGAGTCTTTAACAGTATCAGATTTCACAGCTTCCTCTTCAACAACAGTTTCTTCTTCAGTTTCCATCTGTTGTTCTGTTTCCAACTGTTTTTCTTCATTTTCAGTTTCAAGAAGCAAATCTGTGGCAAAGCCACCAATGCTTTTAGGCTTGTTCAGTGAACTATTCTGATCTTTCTTTGGGCTTGTTACAATATTTGTATCATTCTCATTGAGCGGAGCAGAAGCAATGCAAGTATCCTCTGCATTTGCATCACTGTCAACAGATTTTTTAACAGAAGCTTTCTTGCTGCTTGCATTCCTCTGCTTGTGATCAATCTTTTGCTTAGCAGGACTTCTTTTATTCTTAACTACATGAGTATCTGATGTTTCAATATCAACATCACCTACTATAGACTCCTCATCTCCATGAATCTTTGTTGTTGGTTGAGAAAGTGTCTGACCTTTCAACTGAGTCTTCTTAGTGCCTGATGTAGACTCATTTACTAGCATCATGGCCATCTTATCCATTTCAATTTCTTTGACAGTTTTGTGTCGTGCTGCACCTTTGTGTGAATGTGGAGGTGTTAAGATTACTTCCTCTTCCTGAGAACTGATTTCTGAATCTTGGAAGAGCTTAGAAGGTAGCTCAGCACCAAGTTTGTTTACCCCTTCCTCCAGCCTCAGTGGTTTTTCTGGTGACTCCTCATCAGGCTGAAACAATTCACTTGGCATCCTATACCTTTCAGCTGCACTCACTTGGCTCTCATCAACACTCATAATTCGTTCCTCCTTTTCTAGAATCTCTTCCTCTTGGGATATAGTCTGAGTTTCCTGAAGAGCTGCTTCATCTGTTTGTTCACTTTTGCTTTCAATATTTTCAGCTGTGTTTAGAAATTCTACACCAAAACTAGTGTCCTGTTTGATAGGGCTGCCCAAAGCACCAACATTAATTGGCAGCAGGCTGACTCCTGGTTTGACTTTGAAGCTGATGGTTGTTGACCCAGAGAGGCCAGGTTTGGCAGCAGCTTGGGCTGCTTGTATTAACGTATCAATCTCAGACTGACTCACAGACTGACCAAGTGAGAGAGACTGCTGCGCTTTAGATACTACTGCAGACATGCTGGAAGCATCCAGCACTGTGGTTGTGCCCGAATTGGCAGACAGTGAAGAGTGCGTCACAGAAACAGGTGAGCCTGTTAGCAGACTTCTAGCCTGCTTCACCTGTGGCATTGAGGGTGATCTCGCTGCTCCTCCTAGTATGCCTTGAGTAAGAATGTCAAATCCATGGTTGGCCTTGATAGAAGGAATGGACTGTGTGATAACACGAGGTCCTGTAGGGCTGAGTGTAGCATCGGTTAAATTTTGGTTTAGCTGGGAGTCCTCCGCTGTCATCTGTGACTGTAGGTCTGACATCTCAGTGGCAGATGATTCATGAATATTAGCAGCATGTTCAGTTTCCATGGGCTCAGTGACTGTATCAGGTTCAGGCTGATTAGGCTCATCAGTGTTAAAATCAGGGATAGACACCACTGGAACACCATCAACAGCTTCAGAGCTTGATTCAATAATGTGAGCACCTATCTGTCTCAGGTCTGCAGATAGGGTGGATATTTTCCTACTCCCAATCTGAGGGGTTAAGTAGTCAGCATCAGAAGACCACAGCTGAGATCTCCCCCTTCCCCTGGGCGTCCTTCCACCTCTACCTCTACCTCTGCCTCGACCACGGCCTCTTGCCCTTCCACGTCCTAATGGTATGTATTCTGTTGTATCAATTATTTCTCTGTTCAATCTTTGACTAGCCATCAGCAAACCAGAGGCAGAATTACTGTCGTCTGAATCACCTAGGGCTAAATCTTGGTCCATGGGTGACGTACCAATGGCTGATGTTGTTGGAGATGGTGTAAGTTGACCACCAATAATTGTGCCTGAAGAAGATAGGGCAGTGAAAGCTCTTCCTGCTTGTCCTAGGCTGCTTTGAATTCCACCAGTTCCAGTATGAACAACATGTGTGGTAGTTGACCCAGGTAGTATATATCTGAAATAAAGCAATTTGAATTATAAATAGTGGAAGTCATTTAAATAAACCATGTGGAACAAATTTATATTAAAAATAAAGAAAAACAATAGCTGAAAATTAATTCTACAAACAATACAAAATTAATTGAGTTGTTGAATACGGTACTGCTGAAGTATTGGATTTGGTTTCTATTTCAGAAAGACATTATTTATGCAGCACACATTAAAAGGTCCAGGAATAACATTGCCATTTTTAGCTGTGGCTACAAAACACCTGACTAAAATTTAGAACTGAAAATGTCCCATCACTATAAAAAACTGCTACTTTTGAGAAATTTAGCAGCTAGTGAATGAAGCTCATGGGATAGAAGCTGACACTTCACTACAATATTTGCACCATATACCACCTCTACCCTAATTAAAAATAGGGAGCGGCCGGCTTAGTTAGTGCAATCCTTGACATGTGAGATTAATTGGTTTCAAAATTGATAAGATGAATGAAACAAAAATTACCTGAAGCTCTCTTGAGATTTTTGCTGTTGACTAGAAGGTGGGGAAGTTAGCAAAGAGGCTCCACTTCTTGCTGAAACATCTCTCAGCAGTGAGACTGCTGGTGTTGATGTCAACTGACCTGAGCTGCCAAGTGTGCTGACATTATCTTTAATGCTTCCAGACAGGGACAAAGCATCTTCTAGTGCACTTTCACCAACGGTTGTGGCAGTGGTTTGGTGAATTGCGGCTGAGCCCATTAGAATAGTCTTAGTACCAGCTTGGCTTGTGTTGGCACCACGTGGAACAGTAATTACTTGAATGGTCTTTTTCCCAGGGGTATTACCTGGCATTGTAATAACACGAGGGCCTGTCACAGTGCTAACGGTAGAGTTAGTGCTTGACACTTGTGCAAGAGATATGATACCTTGCGACTGTTGCTGTTGTAACTGTGAGAGTAGTGCACCAGCAGAGGATGCAGATATTATCTGAGGACTTGCTCCTCCAGCCCTGATGGCTATTTTTGGTGACCCGGAAGGAGAGTTGGGCATTTTGAGTACTGATGTGCTGGTCAACTGAGCTTGAGTGTTTTTGTCTACAGGCACCAGTACCATTTTACCTCCTCTCATTGTCAGCTGGGTCAAGATCATACCTCCAGAAGCACTAGGAATCTGAATGTATGTGTTAGCTTGTGCTTGGCTTGGAGTGAGTGTTATAGTTCTCTGAGCAGGTATGGCCTGCTCTGTGCCTAAATCAGTTGATGATGATGCCATGGTAGAGGAACCTGTCTCAGGTGAAACGATGATTGTGTCATTGGCTGTTGAGAGTTCCCGGTTTGGTGTAAAAGGTAATGTGCTTATCTGTTGTTCAGGCTCAGAGATCATTTGTGCTTGTTCCTCTGTCTGCATCTCTTTCTTCTCTGCAGACAATGACTCTGTCATCTGCTCAACACAAGACTGTGCATCAGACACAGAAGGCTCAGCTGTCTCAGTTGGATGTTGTTCTAAGGCTGGCTGTGCTTGTGTATCCCCAGATGTTGAGGTACTAACAATGCTCCCATCAGGCTGGATTATATATGATGCTGTAGAAGATGTAGCCCCAGAAGTTGATGTATTGATTGTAGTGGTTATTCTAGAGCCTGCTTGACTTATGGCCCCAGATCGCTGAAGGAGCTGAAGAAGTTCAGTTGCAGAGATGTTGCTGGCTCCACCTTGAGATCTGACAACCACCACTTTGCTGGTTCCACTGCCTGTCCCAGCATTACCAACACTGTTGGCAACACCTTGAGAATTTCCACTAACTAAAACATAGCGTGCCCCACCAGATGCAGCTCCTCGTAAGGCTGACAAAGGCAGACGAACAATTTGTGGAGAAGTACGAGCTCGTAAAGTGGGAGCTGATGTAGGAGTTGATATTTGCGTGATAGTAGGTGTGGAGCGCCTCACTGGCATAGCCATTGATGCTCCCCTCCCCCTTCCTCCATAAGAACCTCTGGATCCTCTTCCTCTACCCCTTCCTCTAGGTGTATATGGAGCAAAGGTCGGCCCTGTTTGACCAGATAGCAGAGAACTAGTCTGGGTAGTAGAGGCTGAAGGAAATGATGGTGTGTTTGCTAGACCTGACCGTGAAGCTAAAAAAGTAAAATTTATTATAAATTTTTAAAATTAAAAATGTAACTAACTTAGACTAACTTTTTAGACTGGCTAGCCCTTATAAAATCAAATCAAAAGCATTAAATTGATTCAAACCTTGTTGAAAAATTGTAAATACCTGGGTCAGTATTTTGGTGTGTGTTAGGTTGCTGAACAGTTAGAACCAATGAGGCCAATAGCTTTGTATCCTCTGTGTCACGCATCACTAAAGTGTGCTGCGCTGTCAGTCTGCGTTCCCACATGACCATGTGCACCTGCCCAGGAGGGATGTTGGGTGACACATGAAGGTACCTGGTAATTACAGATTTCAGGTCATCGCATTCCATCCAAGTTGAGCCTAAAAATGCAAGAGAAAAAGTATTGATTTTATCAACAATGTAGGCACTCATTTCATGACAAGAAAAATCATAAGTAATTTGTTTCTTATATAATCACAACTGCTTCAAACATTAGTAGCAGCTAAATGAATAAAAGTGGTATAATATTTGCACCGTATACCACCACAGTTCTCAAGTTATAAGACATGGTCGGCTTAGTTAGTGCAAATCTAAGATGACAGACTGTTAATTTAAAAAAAGGTTTATTACCCAGCCCCAAGTCTATAAAATGACAATGATTTGCAAATGGAAATACACTTTGAAAATATTTTCAGATTAATATAGTAACATGGTTTTATATATCTAGATATTACTAAAAAAAATATACGGGCCATGACTCAGAATCTATGTTCTTAAATTATTCACAACTACACCAATAAATGGTCGCAGCTAAGTGAAAAAAAAAGATGTTCAATGTTTGCACCGTTTACCACCAAAGTACTTAAAATTATAAGAAATGGTCGGCTTAGTTAGTGCAAATCTTACTTTAAAATATTGTTAAACACAATTAAGTGAAGCAATAAAGGAAATTAGAAAAATTAACATAAGACTAAGTCCAGCAGTCTGCATTTTATAATATTTTCATTCAGATTTTGAGTTTTCTTTGACAAAAAACAAACTAAAAATGTTTATGTTGACAAAAACTACAAACTAAAGGCAGAATGGAGCTAACATCAGTTTAATTAAATATCGCCTAGCCCTAAAATTGTGAACTAGACTAATAGTAAAGATTTTGGAATTATGCCTAGTACTATTATGCTCACTGTATACTACTGATTCTAGCAAAAGCTGCAATGCTATACTGGTTTATTTGGTAAGTCATTTAGTATATATCATCAAATGGTGAATAATGAAAATATTTTAATGGGTGGGTTTTTTTTGGGGCTTTTGAAAATTCAAACCAATGCCTTAAACAATAAAGGATTGCTTAAACAAAAACGTAATAATTTAGATCTTCAGATTATCGCTAAGTCTAGTGAAGTTTTTATTAAAAATATATTGGTTTTACATCTAAACAGAATCAATGTTCCATAAACAATCACAACTGCAACAATAAATAGCAGCAGCTAAGTGAAAATAAAGGGCTTTAATATATGCACCGTATACCACCACAGTTCTTAAAATTGTAAGACATGGTCGGCTTAGTTAGTGCAAATCTAGACAGCAAAAGGTTGCTTAAAGAAATATAAAAAGAATTGAAAGAATAAGAAAACCCAATTAAATACACTTTTTGACATAATGAGCATGAACATATAAGCATGGAAAAAAATGCTTTTTACAGCCATTTTGAATAAAAACAAGTTTCCTTGACTAAGCTAAATACTGAAATACCCAGATAAAATCTGTGCTCAAGTTCACCATCACAGCAGTCTTTATATCAAATTTTTATAATCAGCTATAATATATAATGCTAAAAATGACAAGAAACCTTCAGAATATCTAGGATTAAAAAGAGATTATATGAGATAGGAGAGGAAAAGGATACAACTTATATTATCTGAGAATTGTTTCTAGGATATGAAAAAAGGCACTATTTTTATATCCACCTTTGGCGGGGTGGGCACCAAAATTATAATCTAATACTAATTTCAGTCAATGATTATTGGATTATTGAAAGTATATACTTTGAATGAATGGAGAAACAATTTTTTAGTCATGACCTAAACCGTATCGTAACATAAATTGTAATCCAAAATTACCATTAAAAATGTTGACAAAAGGAGGATAGTTTCATACTCAAACACTGTAAACAGTATGAACTGACATACTATGAATAAATGTTCCTTATTAAATCACAACTACACCAAAAAATAGTAACAGCTAAGTGAAAATAAAGCAGTACAATATATGCACCGTATACCACCACAGATCTTAATAATAAGACATGGTCGGCTTAGTGCAAATTAGAGGATTAAGGGGGTCAACTGCTTTTGAATCTACTTTGCCTAAAATCAGTTGTTTTACAATTGAACTACTTTAAATTTATCAAGATAGGCTAAGACAAGCTATATTTATTATTTTTTTCAAATTAGTTCACCTATTTCTCATAATCCGGATGTGTTTAGGGGTCTAGGTTCTAAAATATGAGCAACATCTTGTCACAAATTGTTAAATAACTAGTGGTTTCACATCTCATCTTCTGCATTTTGGTGCCCATACATGTATTTTATGCACTGACGTTTAGAGTTTGGATGAATAAGGCTAGTTTTTTCTCTGTACCTGTCCATGTGATGGTACTGTAGGCCGCATTTGATATGACACACTTTTTGTTATGTTGTCCACTTATACAACTCATAACTCAGTCCAGTGGTATTATTAACCAATAAATGCTACTTCATTCTTTATATACACCATTTGTAAACACACATACAAATGTTCAAAACAATCCAACAAACGAATTTTGAAAAAAATGAAACATAACAACAGGTATGCTTAATAAAAATTTATTTTGAGAAAAACAGCAAAATAAGATTGATTACAATGGTAAAAGAACAAAATGATAACAAAACTAAAAATGACACTTTTATAAAGTAGGTTATTCATAAGTGACTTCATAAAGTCACATGAAAATTCAAATGGAACAATATTAAATTTTTCACAAATATTTATGTAAGCCCTACCCCCTATTAAAAATCAGCCGAAACTTAACCGAAACTTATTTTTGCCACAGTACTGAGATAAAAGTTAATTCTAATAGTAAAAACAAATGCCATTTAGAAAAAAAGAAAGTAACTAAACAGTATATTAAAAAATTAAATGTCAGCCCCTCCTGGTATGTACTGTGGACCCCCTCCTCTAACTCTATTCTTTTATTCTCACGCTCCTCTGCGACGCGCCTAATTTTCCTCCTAGCACTTTCATTATTATAAAGAGACCTCTGAGCCTTGCCCACCCTAACAATGTCCCTCTTAGCTCCTATTTCTTTGGTTTTGTTGCCAACGTGCAGGTTTATATGTTGTAAAAAGTTGTGGGAGGCCTTTGACCCCATATTGAATTCCCCCACCCCTAGGCACACCGCTATTTCTAGCCTCTGCCTACCAACAAACAGATGCTTTGGGCAACGACTCCATATGACTGAATGGATGGATTCATTGGTATTTTGTGTTTTTCCATCCAAGCATCTGCTTAAGAGGTCCTCTTGCGACATTTTCTCATAAACAGGTCTTATATTTTCCTCGACCATAGGACAAATGTACAAAGAAAGCATCAGGTCATGCTTGTCAGTGGGAAGACCCTTGGCAACAGCACGCTGAAAAAAGCACCAGGAAGATACTCCTTGAGGACAGTCCTGGTGCTTAGGCTCCTCATCAGTAGAAGTGCAGTGCAGGAGTGTGGCCCAAATAGCTTTTCGCATCTCAGTAATAGAGGAGCAGGAACGCAACGCCTTGGTTTAATACTTTTGCAGCTTGGCAATCTTGGTCTGGGTTAGCTTACCCTTGCCATTACCACCAAGTGTTATCTTTTGCTTCCTTTTAGTCTCCACAACATTCCTCAAAGCAGTTCCTAGTCGCTTGGCCACATGATTTAGACACTCCCTCTTCTCTACTGTGAGGTCCTTATATGGGCTCAAGTCATGGAGCGCTTTTATGGTGTTAGTATCACCATCAGATACAACACTGCGATATCTGAATTGATGTTTCTCCACTGACCGAGCCCACATCTTCACAGCGGCATGTTGCTCCATGCTCCCACTGGAGCCATAATGATTGAGATCACATGAGGGCTTGTGTGATAAATACCAAGCATCAAATTTTGCTTGGTTCTCTGCCCTGAGTCTAGCACCTGTTGTGCTGCATGTGTGGCAGTATTTGCTGACTACCTCATAATCAACAACAAGGCCAGATAAATACCAAACATCAAATTTTGCTTGGTTCTCTGCCCTGAGTCTAGCACCTGTTGTGCTGCATGTGTGGCAGTATTTGCTGACTACCTCATAATCAACAACAAGGCCAGTTCTGTTTTCTATTACACAGCCCACACCATACTTTGACTTATGGCCTCTAGTCTGCCATGTTCCATCATACGAAACATCAATATCAAAGTAATCTTTGCCAGACTGTTCGGGGTATGCAGCACGAATAATGTTTGCACTGTCTGACATCAGTTTGTCAGAGTAACTTAGTGCCATTTTATGTATTACTCGCGTGTGCTGATTATAAGTTTTTGGATGGAGAACCGGAGTGTTCATCAGCTCTGAAAACTTCATAAGCCCACCATACCCCATTCCAGTCGCCAGAGAGGCAGCAACTGCCTGTCTGTTTACAGAGTGCACTTTTTCACTCTTAGGAGATGTAATGGTCTCTGACCTAATCTCCACACAAGTTCTGCAATATACTTGCAGATAAACTGCAAGGCCAGTTTTTTGATGTGTCCTGCTGCAGCTGCAGACACTGTGTCTGGCAAATGGCGCACTGCAGGTTGGTAAATAATGATTGTAATGTCTCCAGGCAGACATATGTGGATGGCAAATCAGAATTTAGAGACTGCTCACTTTCATCAAAAAAAGAAAGTTTGCGTTTAGAAGCTGAGATAGAAGGGGAGACAGAAGGCAAGACAGTACTTTCCTGTGTAAGAAGAGGGGAATCACTGTGACTTGGACTTTGAGCAACGGTCGTCGTCATGGATTCTTCTCTTCTTCTCTGCCTGGCCTCTGTCGCTTTGGCTGACTGACGCTTTCTCCTCAGCTTTGACCTAGCCGCTTTGTTTTTAGATGAAACTTTAGATGGAGCCATGACACTGAAATAGTAAGAAATAAGATAATTACTAACTGAACAAGACTTACAAACAGCTAACTTTAAATAATATCCAGCTATACAATTAAGGATGACTGAATAATAATCTCAAAAATAAATTTTGTTTGCACATAATACATATGATTAATATAAAATTGAAACAAATCTACACTCTTATGTCTAGTAATACCTAGATCTAGTAATTAAAATTCATCAGTTATGATTCATATCACGAGAAATGCAGATAGACATGGGCTATCCCACAACAAAAGTACTAGAAATCTAGATTCTCTAGATCTAATACCAATACTAGATCTATACTAAGTAAGTAGTAATACAGACTTTTGTGTTGTTTACTTTCACTTTAGCAGACTTTAGCTTCGGGCTTAGATCTAAAAACTAATCACTAGCTAGAGTCCACAATAAATCTAGATCTAGACTAGATCTAGATATCGAGATCTAGATTCTAGATCCAGAATCAAGATTTACTAAATCTAGAATCTATCTTCTAGATCATTTCTAGATCTAGAATCTAGATCTAGACTCTAGATTAGATTGACCTGACCTAGATCTAGAAAGTAGAATTTAGTCTAGATCTAGAAACGGACTGTATTGAAGTAATAATAATAAAGAAATAGACTAGAGTCTAATTGAAAACTCACAAAACAATATAACAGATAGTGCATATGTATACAAAATATAACTGGCTTACCTTTGATGTCGAATAAATCTGTTTAATGTTAAAAATGATCTGTGAAAAACGTAAACACTCAGAGAGGCGCTATCACTGTGGACGTACGTGCAGTGTTTTCTGGGTCGAGGTAACTTAGACACGCAACAGTATGGCCGACGCCGGCCAATAAAAAGACGTGGTTTAGCTTCTAACAACAGTTTGTCCAATCAGAGAGAAGTAGTACATAGTTGTGCATGCTTGGGATGCGTGATAGAAGGCCTTTTTTAGGTCAATGCTTATTTTTAGAACTGAGTGACACCGGAAAATCCTTATAGAGCAAATAAAGAGCAATCCGGCGATACCAAACACGATACTATAGTATCGTGTAAAACGAAACCATTAACTCAACAAATTAGCGTATTTTGGTCAACTTTTAATAAAAAACAAATACCCCTACCCCCTTCTTGACATATTTTCATGTTCAAAACATTATTTTATATAAAAAATAACATCACCAAATGATTTATAAGGTAATAATCTATCAGAATATGCAATAATCGATTTTTTTATTTTTTCTGAATTAACTATCATTTTCGTGACCCGTGGGTCCCCTTAACCAAACTCATTTAGCACTAAATCCTATATTAGTCTTCATTTATCAAAAATTTTCCTTGATATATAATTGAGTGAAGCAATTTTATGGTATCTAAAACAAGATAATTGGGTAATTTACAGTGTATCTTTGAATACCATTTTTATGTATGCAAATCAATATATTAACTTTCTGTAATTACCTGGTGCATTCCTAACCCAAGCAATGAAATGATCTGGATTATTTTTGTAGTGTACAACTGCTGTGACCTCATAGTGGTCATCATTGAAGTCAAAGCTTAACTCATCAAACCTATTGTGTGGCAAGCCTTTGACAAAATGCATCTGAACAAAGTCCTGAAGCCTGAAAAATAATCACAGTATTGATTATTTAAATTACAACTATGTATTTTTGGCTGCTATACATCTTAAAATAAGTGCATTACTGGTTAACAAAAAATGTGACCAGATATGTTTATCATTAACTATAATAGTTTTACTATTCTATCTGTCGCTAACGCTCTAGAGAAAACACAAGGAACTTGAAAAGATGCATAGTGAAAGACCGTGACGTCAAATGGAACATACAAGAACGTTTTAAAATGTAACGAAATATGTACAGTTCTATAGCCGGAAAAGTACACACAATAAAATGACGCAATTGATTCTAGAGTAAAATTAGAATGAAAAGGCCAATGCCGAAAAAAATAAACAATGATGTCATCCATACTTAATACAGATGCTCATTACCGCCTAATTTATTTTCTAATCTTAAAAGTTATCCGCATGTAGTTTCTATTCAGGCATTTCTTCGGGGAGAGGCAAATAAACATTTAACAATTCAGTGGATCAACAGTGTACAAGTGTATTAGTTTTACCCTTCAAATTTCATGACCATTCTTTGATTTGGTGCTTGACATTCAAAACAATTCCTGACAAAGCATGGGGCTTTCATATTGAAGTCTGCAGGAACCACAGGAATACTGGGAAGAATCTTTGTATGACTATCATCTTGTGAGTAGCCACATTTTTCACACTGGAAAAAAATAAATAGATGTCACTACCTACAACATTAAACAGAATTTTTTTTCAAACTGGCACTTTAAAAAACAGGTTAGATGACACAAAATGAATACGTTACCTTAAAGACATATCTGTAGTTCATAGTAAACATTTGTTTGATAGCTGGTTTTTCTCTGACAAGCAATGGTAACACCAACACTGGGCTATTGTGTTTTCCCCTTTCACACCGCAGTCTTGGTTGAAGTGCTTGCCATATCTTTTCCCTCATCGCATAGAGGATGTTTATGGCTTTGCCAATTTCATCCATATTTTCTTTGCAAACAAGTTTTGATGTCTTTGGATCCTGTAGTGATGCTGTGTTACCAGCACCTGTTTGAAGACCACTAATTTCTGCTCCATTGCTTTTCTTAAGCAAATTTTGGAGCAAAACCTGTATTAAAATAAATATTTATATATACAAAATAGTCAAGATTGTAGTGCTTAATAAAAAATAGTAAAAATTAAAAAAAAAAAAAATTATTCAAAAAAATTATAAGTCTTACAAAACATTTTACCTGGGCTTGCCTATTTGCTTTTAAAAGTGTAATTAACAAAGTTGAAGCCAACTCATGGGTAGGTTCCAGATTAACTAATGGTCGCAGTGTAGGAGAATAGACTAGCATTATGAGCACAACATCCATCCAACACATGGCATCTAAATTTTGCCATTGCACAAACAAATTGTCTCTTGATACTGAATATGATGGATTGGTGCCTTCAATCTTCATTTCAGCCAAAATTTTACCAACAACAGAGTCTTCTTGTCCTGTATACAATATAGACAAGGATATAATGTACAACAGAGGTTTGATATACTACACCGAACACCATTTAAGTAATGTTAAATATATATGAATGATTTTAATGGGGAAGAAAGAAAGGCAAAGAATTTTTTTCAGGAGATCAATGAGCAATAAATGAATGAACCAATATACAAGCCATTACAGCAATACAATTAACTCTTAAATTAGCAATTTTAATTTGCCACAAGTTCTGTGGAATGTTATTAATGTTGCAAACACAAGTGAAATTTATGAGGAGTTAATTTGTAATTGCTGTAACAGCCTTTGGCTCACCAGCCCCATCTTCCTGTGACAAAGAAGGTCCCAGGTCCTGATCCACACTACTAGAATCTGTCTCACCAACTTTAAGCCCTGCAATTTCAGAACTGATAGTATCCCCTTCATCTCCAGCAAGCCTTCTTGTAACCATGGCAACTGGTCTGAACTCATCCATGTCCATAGAATTACTCTCAGTACTAGATGCTGTCTTTAGTTCAGTATTAACACCTGTAGCGGCTGGAAAAATTGATATAAAATAAGCACATTTTTTTTATTACACTCAAGATTTCTGCTCTTTTTGTCCTGCAAGGTCAGACTATGAAAGAAAGTAGAACTAAAAGATAAGATTTAAAAACTAAAAATTGATTGCTCTGTTAACAATTAGAATTCAACATGTTTTATGTAACTTTAAAATGCTTACTAACCTTGTCCAGCTGTCAAATGTGATAACTCTGCAAGCATGCTGAGGCCACTCATGCTATTGTCTATATTGAATCCTGCAGTGCCTCCAACCACAGATGTTGCAAGTTGCTGAGTTTCTTCCAACAACTGCTGTTGATACAGATTATCTGCAGACTGCTGCTGATATAGCTGATCAACTGTTTGCTGTGATCCATCTTCAGTAACACCAGCTGTGGCAGAATCCATTACAGATGTAATAATTCGCCCATCTTCACTCTGAGTGTAATATACTTGCTGACCTGGCACCATTGTTTGATTAGCATCCATAATGGTTCTAATAATCCTGCCTGTAGAATCCTGCATGTAAACAAATTGTTTACCAGGTGGTGCTACATCATTAGCAGACTGCGCTGAATCTATTGGTGTCAGCTGTCCATTGGCATCATGGACATAAATAATTTGCTGCTCAACTTGCTCAGTTGCTTCCTCTGTTGCCATAACTTGTTCTTGAGTGGGTTGTTCCTCCTGGGTAACAGGAATACCTCCTTGGTATACAATTGTCGTCTCAATTTCACCATCAGGTAGCATGCACTGTTTATATACAACAGAATCTGCATATGATGGAATATCATTAGGATCAATTATTGAAGTTACTACCTGCCCTGAAGCATCAGTCATCTGTATAAAATAGACTGAATCAGAGGCTGCTGCCACCTCTGTGGGTGCTTCTGCTGCTTGAGTGCTACCAATCATCTGTGAATCTGCATCCGTCCCTGCAAATGATGCTACCTGCTCTGTTGCTGGTTGCTCTAATCCTGCAAGCTCTTGAGCTGCATAAATACTATCTGCTTCTTGACCTGACTTGACTAAGGATTCTCCAGAGGTGGTTACTAAACCAGAGTCAATAGCAGAGGATACAACAGGTTCAATAGCAGCAGACCCAGCAGAATCTGCAGCAGCTGATACGACATCATCTACTTTTGATGCTACTGTTGTAGCTGGTTCCTCAGTGGGTGCATCGACAGCACTTTCCTCCTCTTCATCATCTCTGTATGAGGCAGAAGCAGCTGATGCAAATGCAGCAAAAGCATCCTGAAAACCCTTATTAAAACTTGATGATGGTGCAGGGGTATTAGTTTTTAGTGGGGCAGTCTCCTTAAATCCATCTAAAAAATCTGAAGTAATATCCAATGAAGTGGACTGTACAGGTTCAATGTTACTTCCACTTACAGTGGAATGTGTCAGTGATGATCCTCCAATAGGATCTGGATCAACTGTAGTGCTTGAAACCTCTGCACCTGTGAAGTCTTGATTTTGATCTGGTGTCTCAGTAACCTGTGTGTTGTCAACGGCAACATATTGCCCTTCAGGTTCATCCAAAACTGGATTCTCTTGATTTAAATTACCAGTGATTGGCATAGTGGTTTTCTTTATGTAATTTAAGTCAGTGTAAAAAGTATTATAATCCAATTTTAGATATCCAAGAAGTTGTCAAGAAAATAATTATCTAAATCTTTAGAGTTCCCTTGGAATGGCTCAGTAAAAGGTTTGCTTTGCCCAAATTTCTCTAAACAATCATTTAGGGAATCATTTAAATCTGAATTCTCCCTAAATGAATGTTCAAGTGTTGGAGGTAGTTCTTTTGTACTTATGCTGTTAATAATTTGCTTGTTGAATGAACTGGGTTCTACTTCTGGTAATACAGATGGACCAGTATTTAGATTACTTATAATTTCTGAGAGACGAGAATTAATGGCATCAATGTGTAATTTATTTGACTTTCCAGTCAACTCAATTGGCTTATTGAGACCCTCTTTTAAAATGTCACTTAGAGAGCCTACCTGGACAATGTCAAAACCATTAATTGAATCACCACTTTGTTTATCTCTTTCTATTTTAGAATTAGTCACACGAGAAGAGTCTGAGACAATTCTTTTATTGGATTTCTTTGGGCTTAGTGTAGGTTTGGTAATAGAATCTGTTTGATTTTCAACAGTCTTGAACACAATGCAAGGCTTGGAACCGTTGCTTTTGTCATGCACTATTTGAATTTTTAGCAAACCCTTTTGCAATTTAATTAGAGTATCAGGAGGAACAATAATACGCTGCACTTTTCTTCCTGAATTATTTTCAGCAAAGCTAGATTTTAAAACAGTTGTTGGGGTCGAGCAAATTGAGTCGCTGCTGCTAGTTGAATCAGAATCCAAACTGCTTCCCTTTCGTTTGTTTCCCAAGACTGGATTAAATGTCAGTTGCCCAGATGTATGTTGCTTAACAACAGTTGGCTTTTTTGTATTAGACAAAACTGGCGTACTTTCTCCTAGATTGGTTGGCACCTGAATTTTCTGTCGCCGTTTGTCTTCAAGTTGATTTGTTTGAAATGATGAAAAGCTGTGTGCATGTCCAGTTAAGAATGGTCCCAGTGGAACTAAAGTCTTCCTCTCTGTCTCTTCTGCTAGAGGTGCTGGAGATTTCAGCAGTCTATGAGCAGAAAAACTGTTTATTTTGGATGCAGATGAGCTCTGCAGGTGTGAATTATTTGCTGAAAATGCTTTACAAGATGGGGTACTTGCTCTTAAACTTCGAGATGAATTTGATAGCCCTAGCCTCTGTACTTGAGAGGAGCCATAGATGCTATAAGAGGATACTGAAGTAGTTGATGAAGTTTTCCTTTTAAGTTTTAGAGGTGCAGAAATTTGTGATATGTCTCTTTTCACAAAGAGAGACTCCAAGTTTGAAGATGGCATAAATGTACACTGGAAAAATAATATTGAAAATTGAAAACTTTTTATTTTGATCAATCCAGTAAAAATAGAAAAAAGCTGCTATGTAGATGAAGTTAAAGATTATATAGGTAATGCCAACATATGTGACCAGACAATAAAATTATGAAAAATCTCTCTTTCAGTGTGAATTTTTTTCATGAACTATGCTATTATGTGTTAATATAAAAATGTATGCTTCATTGTACCATATAACAATTAAAAAACTAAAAAATAAGAGGGCACTTTTAAAAATTCCTTCTTTTATCCAGTAACTTTGCTTTGAATGGTCAGATTTGGCAAAAAAATTTGGTTACAAAAAATTAATTTTTTGAAAATGTTTATACTAAATATAAAAAGTATGAAGTTTAATAATGAACAGTATTTAGCATACATAAAAATAATCACCTGAACATTTTTGCACATTAAAAAAGCTTCATCATCATTTATTTGAAAGAGCTGTACTGGACTTTCAACACCTTGAAGTATACACTTTTGACAATAATTTTTAGAGGGCAACTTCTCAATAGTCTGAAAATATTTTTAAAATACATTAGATAATAGAGTAGCTAAAACATTAGTTAAATTATACCACTATAAACTAAGTCTATAAACTCCCTTTACAAAAATCTTCAAATTTTGTTTTTAACAATGATTTAATAATGCAGTTTTACAGATTTTTTAAATTGTAACCTCGATTGCAATCAACTTGACAATATACTTACCAAATTCTTATCTTAGTCTACAACAAAGGTTAAACTATTAAATCTTTCATGCTTAAAGCTTTCACAAAAAATATATCAAATATCTAATAATTAAAGAACATTCAAAAAGAAAAAAAAAACATTTATTTTTAAAATGCTGGTAATCACACCAAGACTACTTTTTATGAGAAAATAAATATTAAAACAGTGGTATAAGATTTTTAAATGTTTATTATAATATTAAACATGATTTTTTATATATAATTTTTCTTTTTGAGTTCAAAATTAGTTTTTATTTTCAAGACAATAAACTGACTGAAATTAAGAAATACAACTTCCTGCACCAGGCTATTTTAATAACAAAATTCCATTGTAATTTAGCATAAAACTGTCAAGCTGTTAAAACTATATAAATGGAATTAACCATTATCAAAGTTTTTAATAATGATTTAATCCATGGAGAGGAGCTTTTAATGAGTCTTTTTATGTGACATATCAAGTGTTTATGTGACATAATATAACGGATGTATTAAACAGCAACTACTTTTCAAACATCACTCATACAAGCTAGATCTAGATATTTTTGCGATAATGTGTGTGTCTGCATGAGGAGACACAACACACTTCTTTAATTCAATTCATGCCTGGTTTGATACCGCTCGTTTGCGGTTGTCAGGAACTGTTTGCTTCCCACAGACAGTAGTATCATTCATTCTAATACACCTGCAAGCAAAAATGTAGTAAACACATTATCATCATTTTACTGCAAGATTATCATCGCCACCCAAGAAGAGTGCAAGGTCTGAAAGAGTAACACTTTTTAAGGTGCTTACTCCCTGACTGTCAAGGTGACGGGTAAATGAACAAGCTCTCACAATAAACAATTGTAAAAAGTCTGCTCATTTCAGTCTCTAGTGAAACTTCATCAACAGCAGCAAACAGTTCAAAAATTCTCTAACCTATCCAACAAAGCAAAGATGTCGACCTTTGCTTAGTGGGAGGTATAAGAGATGTAACCAAATGGCATGTTATTGAAAAATAAGTTGAACAGTAAAACAAAAATAATTCTTATGAAGCCTTTCAATTTGAGACTTAAAGTAGTATTATTTGACCAACAGTTAACTGGAGTAAGGCAATTGTTAAAGTTAGTTAACAAGCATTTTTTTTAAGGTTGACATTTCAACTTAAAAGGATTGTTTTTTTTTAAGTAGTACAAGAGATAAAGAGAAGAATCGCCATGGAAAAATTATTCCATCTATAACTGTTTGATTTTTAAACACTAGATTTACAGCCCAAGCTACTTCTCTAGGGCCTAAACAATTTTGGGGCAAAGAAACTAAATGTTTTCCTCACAATAGACAAGAAAACAGAGTCTTTGTGCAAGTCTTTGTATGTTTAAGTGAAGACAGTGTGAGTGATATGTGAATCATAAAGAAATTGAATCAAGATCTAGAATCTAGGCCTTTAATAATGTTTGAAAAGGCAACACAACGATAATAAAATGAACAAACATAACGAGTTAGAATGTAAGGAAGATTACAGTGTAAATTGTGAAACAACCTGAACTTGTCCTGTTTTGTCCTGGCAAAAAACAAAACTGAATGCTAGCAAAAAAAACTTGTACATAAGATGAATGATTGCTGGGACTAGAGGGTAGGGGTAGAGTTGTGACCTGAGTTTAATTTCATTTCCAGAAAAGATCTAGATTCTAATCTAAGCCTAGATCTAGAAAGTAGAATCTCAAGATTCTAGATCTAGACAATTTAGACAAGATATCCAGATTCTTAATTTAGAAAATTAAATATGCTGCTAGATTTCTTATTTCTACTAACTTCTCTATTAGTGAAATTTGAATTTAGATTAGCCTACTAGATCTAGATCTAGATCTAGATTTAGACAACAATAAACATTTATTACAATAACAAAACATTTAAGTTATAGATCTAGATGTAGATAAGACTCTAGGACAAGGTTATTTTAATTAAATTAGTCCTGAAACAATAGCCTTCTTTATTTAATTATTTTACAATTTTTATTTGCGAAATTCAAATTTGGCTCAACGTTCTTCTTACGTCTCTTTAAGAAAAAAATGTCACCATAGTACGCTCTTTTAAAAACTATTTCTAGTGGAGCACTGAAAGGATACAAACTACGTAAAATGTACTCACAAAAAACAATAATATAAATAGATCGCCAGTGTGTTTAGAAATTAGACCAAAAAAAAAGAAGAGAGGATGCAGAAATGGCGAACAGAAGACGCCACCTTTTTTTTGACCACCACAAGCCAAACAAGAATACACCAAACTCAAGTGTCGTTAAACGCTTTCTTCATATCCTAATATGCATTGTTTCACCTTGATTAAAGTGTAATTATTTTGAAATTCAATATACTCTATCGATTATAGCAAGCATTCTTACCATTCCTACGGGGCGGGATTAGTAATAACGCCGCGTTAATAAATAATTTGTACGTAAATATATTGAGGCATGGCGCCGCCATGTTATGCGCAGAGAAAAAGCGAAAGGGGATTGTGGGTAAACAAGTGAAGTAAACAAAGTATTGTAAATTAGGATATTTATTTTAATTGTTTAGATTATCGTTAGCAAAACTTAATAACAAAAAGTCTCAAAGTGTCTAGACACATTAATAAGCATTGTTATTGCTGTTGCAATCTTTAAAACTGATACATTAAAACATGGACTGGATAACTTTCAATGAATTTAAATTCAATCCTAAAGAGATCTAGACAAGGATTCATCACATTGGCGAATTTTTTAAAAAAATAACTAACTTATTAAAGATTTAAAACAATGGGGGAAATTTTTTATTAAGATATGTATTTTAGAAATGAACCAAAATACAGACTTTATTTGACTGAATTCCATGTTACTTTAATCAGTATAGAGTATACCAACGGGCACACTGGAAATAAATAGACAAGCAGTTGACAAACTGTAGATCTAGACGTACCTAATAGTTTTTATATTCACGTATAGATCTAGATCTAGAGATCTATACGTGAATATAAAAACCTGGGGGTCGCGACCTCCCTGGGGGTCGCGGAGGTCTTTCTGGGGGGTCGCCAACTGGTATACTAAACCTTAGTAATTTGAAACAAAACATAAATATTTAGAAGAATTGTTTAAATTCGGCTTCATTAACATAACTAGAAATGTAATAGAGAAGAAACAAAGCGCACTGTACAAAGTTGTAAAGGTGTTCTCAGTCACGAATCTATGAAATCTTCAAAACTAAAACTTCGTTTGAGACGAGTCATTCGGAACACACCAAAAAATATATTGAGTTCTTTCGTCGGTAAGAAGCTAGATCTAGATCTAGTAGCAAACGTCAGAGACTTGATCGAACAGGAAGTTTTCACCCGCATTAGTGCAAGCATCAAATGAAGTCGCGATAGAAAATGCCAAGCAAAAAAAAAAAACAATAGGAGAAAATCTCATCAAACGCTGCATGTACGTAAATGTTAAATAACACATTTTTATTGAAATTAAGCTTTCACAATTGTTTGCTTTTCAAGTTGATAAATCAACAGACGTGAGTTCGTGTTCGCAGTTGCTGGTCTGTGTCTATATTCATGCGGATGATAGCAAAGAAGAGTTGCTCTTTTGTGAAGATAGCATGGAGAAAATAAATACCTTTTTTGAAACTGGATGATTAAAATGGGTTAGAACGGCTGTGGGGGGGGGGGGGGGGTTTGTACGGATGGCGCGCCATCTATGTTTAGCTCAAAATCGGGCTTTCAGAAAACAGAAAAGATTTAGCTCCCTAAACACTTCCCTAATCAATCGACATCAAGAGTCCATTGCTATGCTAGTATAAGTCGTAAATTATATAAAATCTGGAGCCTTCAGAGAACTGAGCAAAAACATTAATATAGATCACGAGGTTCTGCTCTTCTACACTACAGTACGCTGGCTGTCAAACGAAATGTTGTTAATTGTGTTTTTGAATTGAAATCTGAAATCAAATTGTTCTTGGAAGTGCAAAGGAAACAAGACTTTTTGGTATACTTAAAACGACATAGAGTTGTTGGAGAGAGTATCATACCTAGCAGATGTGTTCGAACATCAAGATAAGCTTAACCTGAAGCTTCGGGGAAAATGAACGAATATTATAACTTTCCATAATAATCTCGGGGTATTTTTATCAAAACTGCAAAATCGGTAAAGAAAATAAATCTTGGAAATATTGTAAATTTGAAAAACTCTGCGGTGTGGTAGATGAATCTGATTGTGAGATAATTAAAATTTTGAAAGAAGAGATTTCTGGGCATCTTGAATCTCTTGAAAACGAACTGCATCGCTATTTCTCTGAGCTGAAAAAAAGAAGAATCTGCTTTTACTCATTACCCATTCTCTTCTTCCCTTGATGTTGCCAGCATTCCCGATGAATTCTTTGATTTGCAGAATGATTCCGAGTAAGATGAAAAACTGCAGACACAATTTTGGTGTAGTATTCACCATTCATACCCAAACGTAAAATTGATTACTTTTCGAGAATATATATTTCAACACTATTCTTCGATTAAAAACAAAATTAAGATAATTATAATGACATAGGTTGGCGTTAACAAAAAAAATTTTAATTAAAAAGTTAACCACGAAGGTTTAGTGAATAGTATGCAATTTTACTCATGCTATTAAAACAGTTATCAAGAGTAGTTCATATTGAAAGTCTACTAGAAAATTTTATTTTAGTGCTTATTAATTTCCATACTAATTTCGGCTTTTTAATTCTATGGGGGTCGCGGGTCACTTACTTTTTATAAAAGGGGGTCGCCACTCGAAAAAGGTTGGGAACCACTGATCTAGATCTATATCTACTTTTACCTAATTGCATTACCCGTTTTACAAAAAATTTGTCAAGAAATAAGCTATATTACTGGAATTGGTGTATTATGTAGCATTACAGGAATAAAAATTCCATATAATGTAGATTCTACATATAAAATAAATACTTTGAGAGAAAAAAAAACTCAAAAATAATTTCATAGCTTAATTACTGTTATTCGAAATGCAAGCAATCCTTAAATAAGAAGATGAAATAGATTTGTATAGTTATTATAGTCATAGCCTATGTCATTCAGTGGACACTTGATCAATATTGATGTTAAGATTTAGATACTTGTAAATGTAAGTTGTATTAATATGTTAAGGGAGTCACCAATAAATGGCACCACACCTCCGCACCCCCCCCCCCCCCCCCACACACAGACACACATACAACGTCCCACATCAATGTTTATTTATTTTTGTAAAGTGGTATAAAATGCAAAATAAATGCTAAAATTCGATTGTAAGTATATGTGTGCGAAACTGTGATATCAGTCTTTATTAAGCACATGGACCGTATCAACAATCCTCCCAATCCCACCCTCAAGTAATAATAACTATCTGGTACCATGTTTACACTATCTGGTACCAAAAGAACTGATTATTGGATGATTGTGTCTTTGAAATCCAAGCGCGTGACACGGGCAGCGAGTTGCTAGGAGCCAGATATGCTGCATATGTATCGGACTCCTTCTACACACTGCAGATAATAGACCCAGGGGAGGGGCGTCGCCTGTACTTCTTAGCATCGGTTGCGTTGCAGGAGCTGCCGATGGGAAGCCAGGGGTAATATTCTCGCCTAAGATGCTAAAAAGTGTGTTTCGTTTCGAAGTTTATTTTCCTCGATGGGTCGCTGACCCCACCTAACGAGTCTCATCTGTCCGAGTGTTCGAAGGTGGGAAATTCTTGGTTAGCAACCAATCGCTTACCTGCCCGACCACGCCCCCACCACCCCCCACCCCACACCACCCGCTGGAGTATATTACGTCAATTATTGAGGACCTCTTCTCTCCCTTATTGTGTATGATATACGTCAATAAAAATTAAATATGATGTAGCCTATTATATTTTATAAATTATACATCCGACTGCTCAAAATGACTTTGTATTTCGTAAAATAGAGATTGCAACGAGATGCTTTTTAATATGGTTTTGCCGTTCCCAACTCAAAACAATTGAACTTCATTTACAACTACTGATCAAATTAAGTTCGACCACTTAACAAAGCATAGCCTGGTATAAAAAAAATATTTAAAAATGTCAACAATGCACAGATTGAATGGGCGAGGCCGACTGGAAAAGAGTATGGGTGGGCAGACTCTATGATGGAACATACAAAACATATAGTAATAAGCTTAGAGATATTTCTGATTCAGTGACATATCGGATTATTGTGTATGGCTGTATAGGTTAGCGCCTGATGTATTGTTCTTGTATTGATTTTGTTGGTGTTCTACGTGAATATTTTAGCAAGGATTCTATAGAATAAGCCACAATTATCGTGGATTTTTGTTTCATTCTCTGAGAGGGCGTGGTGGGGTGCTAGAGCGGTCAAATGTTAATTTGAAAGTCTTGAGTTCGGATCTCAATCCGGACTTATGTCTGAGTCCACCCAGCTCTGGTGAGTACCTGACTTGCGTTAGAGAAAATAAATACGGTTGTGCACCCCTTCATATGTCGATGTCAAGAAACATAATATATAAACTCTACTCCATTTATCCTATAGATCTTTAGGTCTTAAAGGGGAAGTTTATCATTTATGTATCCTATTATTTTTAATTGTTTTCTAATATGTGAAATAAAATTGTACTCGGTGTATACTGTGAGGTAAGGTTGAAGACTTGGATCTGGAAATGCTAAACTTTTTCTTTAATAACCACAGCAGCTCAATGTCCACATCGATAAAACCAAGATTCCGCCAGTTTTTCAACAGTCACTTTTATAAAGTCCAGTGTTTCTTCCAGACGTATTTCTCCGGGGGGGGGGGGGGGACTTGAAGTTTTCGGGGGGGGGGGGGGAGTAGACTTTATTCGGGGGGGGGGGGCAGAAACTGTTAAATGTATATATTTTCTATATAAATTCCATTTCGTTCTGGGGGGAGGGGGGCGGTAGACTTTTTTTTTCGGGGGAGGGGGGGGGGGCTCCGCAGAAGAAAGTCTGATAAAGTCGAATCATCAGAGTTGACAGAAACATTAACGCAAACAGCGGATGTAAAAAAAAAATAAAAAAATAAAAACAACTCTCCACTAGGCTTGGAGAAGAAGAAGTTGGTAATTACGGGTCGGCGTGGTCAAGTCGGTATAAAAGCTCATGGTTGCTAAACCGAAAAGTCTCGAGTTCGAACCCTCGGGCAGATGAGGCTCGTTAACTGGGGACAGCCACTCTTCTAGGAGAGACAACTCCAAAATCAAACAACTGCTGCCTTGAAGTTAGTTCTTGGTTGGACAAAGGCTATGGAAGGCTGAAATCGGAGTCAATGGCGCTTAACGAGTCGACACGTATACTTAAATGTGTTGGAGGGAATCCCTTCCAACACTAAAATTAAGAACGAAGAAGAAGAGCATTCCATTTACTGTCCATGTTGACAGTATCAAATTAATATTTTCCGAAAGTCGGGTTCTTTTTTTTTATTTAGTCGAGTTGGTTTTAGATGTTCGTGTTAT